TATCCGCGAGGGCGCCGTTTCGTGGGTAGGAGGGGGGGGGGGAGAGCAAACGCAAAATCAACCACATGAAAAAGTAAAGAAAAAAATCGCCGTGTTTGTAAAACAAATATACCTGACCGGTGAACGTATTGTTTGTTGATTTTTTGTTTTATTTTTACGATCGTAAAAACCGAAACAATGTAGAAAAACCATGTGAGCAGGGTTTACACTTCACATTGTGAATTCTCCAAAAATCACGGAAAACCACAGATTTAAAAACTCGTACATTTAACACGTTTATGTTCCGCAGCTGAACCAAGCTACCCACTATTTGGACGGGTCGATGATATACGGTTCTTCGGCGCAACAGACGTGGTCGTTGAGGAGCAAGTCGCGAGGTCAACTGTTGACGCACACCGGCGGCGACGGCGATAGCGATAGCGACAGTGACGGCGACCCGCTGCGGCCGCAGTACATGCCACTGGCCGCCAGCGAATCGAACGCGTGCCAGTCGGACGGGGACGGAACCGGCACGTGCTACACGGCGGGCGACGTCCGGGCGAACGCGCAGCCCCACTTGACGGCCATGCACACGCTATGGATGAGGGAACACAACCGGGTGGCCGGACTTCTGGCCGTCGTCAACCCGCACTGGGACGACGAGCGCGCGTTCCAGGAGGCCAGGAAAATCGTCGTGGCGTCTATACAGCACGTCACGTACGGCGAGTGGCTGCCGGCGCTGCTCGGCAAAAAGTACACCAAACGGAACGGGCTGGAACTGTCTCCGAAGGGGTACAGCGACGCGTACGACGAGAACGCCGATCCGACCGTCAGCAACAGCTTCGCGACCGCGATACTGCCGTTTGTCAATTCCATGTTTAACGAGACTCTCAGGTTCGTGTATATTGTGTGTGTCGTCGTTATTACTATTATATTATGGTGTACTAGTACTATTGTTATGGTTACGCCTATTTCGGTGTGTTCATTTTGACAATAGCTATGAACACACATAATTTTTTGGACATTTTGTTTTTGGAAAATTCAAGAGGCCCTATGCCCCTGTCCGTGCGTCTATAATAAGGGGCAATATTAGGCAATATGCAATTTCGTCGCCGCCAACCATCCATATCCGTGTTAGTCGTAAAATATAATGATGTTTAGTGTGAGTGTGGTTGTATCTTGTATACCGGGCAATCTACGCACGTCGCACAGCGCAGCATGTCAACAACACCGCCGACAAAAAATGAAAAGCGTGATTTTATGCCGCGAAAACTCTCACGCCTCGTAGAATTGTCCGATTGCATTAACTTTTTTTTGTTTAAAAAAAAAGATTTTCTACAGGGTGCATGGTCTTCGATTCTTGATTTTGTTGCTTATAACAAAAATAATATAAAAAACAAAACTTGTAAAATTTTATCATATTAAAAATCCAAGTACAATGCGTCCGATGTAAAATATATCTCTTTCAAAAAAAAAATATCTTAAAAGGTCCGTCTACAAGGCGTGAGAGTTTTTCCCGTAAGGCATATTTTTTAGCAAAAAACCGGTCATTATGTCAGGTGTGTGTACTTGCAAGCTGCAAAATTAATATATTAGATGAACGCTCAATAGACTTGATTATTAAACGGTTGTTTATACATATTTTATTTCATGGTCTGGAGCAGAATTATAATTTTATTTTGAACGAATAACTCATGTAATTTACAAGCATTCAGTTTTAGACTAGTAGTTCACCACATACCAAATAAAATTATATCTATTAGGATATTAAGTGTTGTGCGTTGAGGGAATCATCCGACACCCAATGTATAATATACGTACATGCGGCTTAAAGCTACTTATGATTTTCACGCATGTTTTTGTTTATAGTTTATACTTTGAAAACCGAGTGACCAACAAAAGTCTTTCGCTAAAGGAACACTATAACCGACCTTCCGATTTACAGATGAACTACATGGATCACCTTATCAGAGGACTATCCATGCAGAATACACAGAAAGTCGACATGTTATTCACGCAAACGGTATGTTTTTGCAAGACCTTAGACAATCAATATAATGATGAGCATAACGCAACGACTTTGTTTTTTTTGCACAATTAATGATGACGTCAATATAATGCGCGTTTTATATTATATTATTATGTTTACTGTACAATGTACATGTTTACATTTTTTAGATTACAAATTACTTATACAGTCATCCAGATAATATGTTTGGCATGGACATTGTCAGCTTGGATATACAGCGAAGCCGCGATCACGGTATTCCAAGCTACACACAATTTCGAAAATATTGCGGACTAAAAGAGATAAAAAATGTACAAGATTTGACCCAGATCATGGTTAAAGGAGTAAGTTTTAAACAAAATATGTGAAATTATAAAAATTATGCTGTACTGATAATTTTATTCCTGTGTGTTTTGTTTAGTCAACAAATAAATTATTGAGACAATATAAAACTTGGGACGATATAGATCTATTGATAGGTGCATTGTTTGAGAAACACGAAGACGACGCTATGGTAGGCCCAACGATGAGGTGTATCATTAGAGAACAGTTTATAAGAACTAGAACGGCAGATAGATATTTTTATGATCTACCAAAAGTATTTAAAAAACGTTAGTATTGCTGAATTATTTTTTATGGATGTACTTCAATTTAACTAAATATGTTTAATTGCAGATCAACTGGCAGAAATCAGAAAAGTGACCCTAGCCAGAGTCTTTTGTGACAACAGTGATAATGTCACGAAAATGCAGCAACGAGTATTTTTTAAGCCCGTATCTGCTGTAGATGATTTGCTACCTTGTGATTCCCTATTAATTCCAAAAATCAACCTCAAACATTGGTTAGAAACAGTCGATACAAATCGGAAATAACTTAGATATCAATGTCTATAAAAGGTCATAAACGTTAATGGCTATTATCTGACCTGTGATTGAAGCCTACTGACCACAGATAACTTGTTATTCTTTTTTACTGTTAGTTTTATTACTAACCATCTAAATCACTTGCGTCATTGGCCTACGTATAGTGTACACATAGGCTTTTATGATAACAACTATAAATGATAAACTATACAATTTAAACAACAAATTCCTTTAGAGAATTTAGGCAAATTAGATTTTATTTTTTTTTTGAATAAGTTATAATTAGACGTTTAAAGATTTTATTGTATAGGTATTATTTGATTTTTCATATTGTACCCAATGAAAAAATTAATCTTATGTGGATTGTTATCCAAATTTCCTATTACATCACTGTACCTTATTAATAAATTGTAAATTATTAATAATAAAATACCGTCTTAACACTTATTTTTAATAATTATATTATTATCATAATATTACCTTTTTAATTGTGATTTTATAAATAAGAATTAAAATTATATAAGATATTAAACATGTAATTGTTTTAAATTGAAATCTTATAGGGTAAAATTATAATATAATTTTTATTTTATTTTTTAAGTGATTTTTAATGTAGTATTTATAATTAGTTATTATATATTTTAATAATGATAGGATATATAGGATTACATTCTTAAGGCCTGGACTACATGTGGTGATGAACACACTAGTCCTATTATTACAACAAATGTGAATTCCAACATTATTTGTTATTTAATTTATATATTCCTTTTTATAATGAGTTATTAGGAATATTTGCAAAATAAAAGTGTTTTGAGGGCCCAACAAAACTTATAGTATGTATTTAATATATATTTATTGATTTCTGGAAACAAAGTAAAAAATCTAAGTTGGAATTTACTTATGTACAATGTAATATATATATATATGCATATACACGGATACCCCCCCCCCAATAACAAGAATGAGAAATTTGATTGTATATTCACTAAATCAAGGTAGACCTTATAAAAAGATAGTTCCCGAAAAACTTATGTATATATGATTCAATCAGTACTAAGACGCGTAAGTTGTAAGAGTTGCATATTTTTCTGTGTGATCTCAATTATAGCCGACCAATCTGGAAATCCGTTCTATATAATGAAGAGTTTAAAAACAAAAAATTAGGGATATGCATTTATTTTACATATTTCGTTAATTATAATATGTGTTTAATATATATATTTAGTATTGTCTATAAAATGTCTTTAATTATTTGTGTATTTTATATTCAATTGTTTAATGTAGGTATATATTTCATTTTCTAAAGATTTATGCAAAGTAGAAAAAAGCATATTTCTTTTCTATTTCTTTTATCTACTAGAACAAAACTTTTTGTTATGGCCAGACTTCATTAAGCACCATTATGACATACTACTTTTCTTGTTCAACCAGTTTTCCACCATATTTTATTAATATTATAGCTGTTTGAACATAATAAACTATAATTTAACTATTAATTAATAAGTTATTATTTTTGCATATTATAACAGTTTTTACTTCCATAACTTCCAAGCCTTAAAAATTAGTAATGATCAATGAACATCCACAGAAATTCGTTTAGTTATTAACATAATATCCACTTTTTATTTTCCCTCTGATCCTAAATTTGCATTCAAAATTAAAGAAATATCTAAACAACAATAATTAATATACTTAATACCTCAATTTATTAATGTACAGTCAGTTATAACACTTTATTTTAAAATATTTTTGGAAAAATGAATTATATGAAACTGTAGGTAATTAATTACCTATTTTAATATAAACTTTTACCACCTACTATAGTATAATTAAGTTTAATTTATCTAACATTTTAATAATACTTTTATTAATGAAAAAAAACATTAAGACAAGTGTTGACATTAAAATATGTCAAAGAAATTTAAACTTTGAATTAAATAAAATACGAACTATTTACATCATAATTTTTGAATAATTTTAATACATTAATTGTTACGTATGATGTCAAAACAACAATAATAATACATTTTTAGTTTTTATAAATCATTAAAATGTTTAGAAAAATGGCCAAATGATAGGTTTATAACACATAATTAAAGTAGGCAGTCTAATTAATTGTATACTTAATAGACTTACAAAATATAATTTCACCTATTTAACACATCAGTTGTATTATCATTAGGAACATCAATTAGAAAAACAGTATCAATATTTTCCAGCGTTTGTCTAATAGTCGTTTCAAATTGCTTACGATGAATTGCAAACTCCATGAGATCCTTTGGTTTTGCGTCCAACCAAAATTTGTCAAACTTCCAAAATAAGTAACAATAGAACTCATTGAAATCTTCATATTCGGGCGCATTGCGCGTATTATAAAAATGAGTCTTGGCTGAACCATCAACGACCAGTCCTAATGCCATACTCGTTAAATTTATTCCAACAATTGCAAATGCATACCCATGGATGGGATGCATTGAATGTGATAATGCTTGTCTGGCCAAATGGGTATATTTTGATGCAAAATACACCAAATTATCCAGCCCTAACGTTCCCATGCCTCGAAAATCAGTTTTTGGGTCATCTCCTTGGAATCCAATGTCCTGCCACTGTTTGGTTACCCTATTTTCTAGGCGATCATTTGGCATCAATTCATCCCATAAAAGTAACAACGATTTTTCATGCACATCGTTGGTACAATCATATGGAATGGCTGCACTTGTCTTAATCTCTTCTACTAGTTGCATATACGACCATATATTGTTCACACACTGTCCAAGAGCATTGTTAAATCGTTCATACTCACACTGGTCAATACGCTTTACACGTGTGATTGTCGACACGGCATTTGGTATCTGAATGGAACGTCCCAAGTAGAAACTTCGGTCTGATGCACGAGCGTCTAACACAGTGAGCAGACCGCGTATTTGCGGCCTGTTGGAATCGCGCAAAGATCGTTCTACATTCAGCGTTCTGCGAGCGCCCGCCGGCTGCGCATAACATATGCGTTGCAGTTCGCAAAGCTTAGTGGTCTGGCGCAAGAACCATTTGATCACTTTCCTCAAATACCAATAGATATAATTCCGTACTAAGTATAACCACATGACTACGGGCAGATTAAAAGTCGTACAATATCGGGTTTTTGACTTAGAGTTCGTTATATAATAGCTTTGTGACTGGGTAACTTACCAGTAGAGGATTGCGCATGTCGATTGTCGAGTGAGGCTGGACAGGCCGGTCTTAAGTGCACGTGACGTCTCCTCTCGGTTGAAAATTGTTTATGACGATTAACAAGAAAGGTAAAACGTTCGAATTTCCGGCCCTGGGCTGAACACGAAATGTGAAAACTCAAGAGTTAAGACGGACGACGACGAATGACGACAGTCATTATAATGTAATAATGGATAAGTATTAATTATTATTATTTAAATAATTATAATAATATTAATGATGTAGAAAAGCTGCCGCTGCTACCTACAACACTACCCTACCTACCTACGTACCATCAGAATAAAAATATGAAACGAACACGATATCGTTTTTAGATAACACACAGTGTCGCCGAATATTAGATCAAAGCTTTTTTACACCCAACACTGTGGTCGTGCTCGATAAATACGCCGGTCGCCGGTGTACCTATCCAACTTTTTGATCCACAGAAATTTCGATTCAACATTTCAGACTAGGCTCGATTATTTTAATATTTACGAATGCTGTAGGCAAGTGCCGTCTGCTGAAGTCTCCTAGTCTACATATTAATTTATAATTTAACAACACGAGTCGGTTTGATATGGCCAATGGCCTGCGACCGAGTATCGGGATGTTGGAGGGAGGTTTCTATGATTTTTGCGGTGACTGCAGGTAAAATACATTAGCCCCTGCCACACTCACAAATACTGAAATACATAATTATATTCACCGTCAAGCCGGGTTTTCACTATACCGTGCCACGTAGAGTTAAATGAGTACCTAATATGCCACTAATGTGTTACCAATATTTTATTGCCTACATATTATAAACTTCGCACTTCCATTAACTACAGATTCTTCCGATGACAAAATTATCTATTCCTCACACAAAAGTCCAATAACAGCTGTTTTTAATAATGTACAAAATCATCTAGACCTCGTGACATCCTGTTACACTAAATGGAAAATAAAAATTAATCATAAGAAATCTTCACATTTGACTTTCAACTAAAAAAGAGGAATAGTATCACCTGTCATCTTAAATAGTCACAACATCCCAAAATCCACAAGCACTCTCTACTTAGGAGTTAGGATTAACCCTACACCAACGTCTAACCTGGACTATACCTCAAATCACACTCTTCATACTGATTTAAAAATAAACATAGTAGAAGAAACCTCAAAAGTACTACACAAACGTCACCACTATCGACTAACAAATCATTAATATCAGCTCTAAATGTCTAAACCATTCCTGAGAATCTTTATCGCAGTCTAAAGAGATCATGGTGTCACAACCTAAATCTATAAAAAAATAAATATAATCTATTAAAATGTATAATCAAAACTAACCAAATCCCCAAGTAAAGTGTTGTCATTGGGTGGCTACTTTTCTCCCGTGTCTGGGGTCTCATATCATAAATATATAATATATCTGCATACAGGCTTATTGTAATAAAATATGAATTACAGATTGTTTAATTTTAAAATAAAGTGGAAAAATATAAACATTATTAAATGTACGGAACACGACACGACACTGTGGACAAATACTACTGTATAGTTTTTTTTTTTTTTTTACTTTTTTATTAAATAAAGTTTTACTGACATATGTCATCTTAACTTAGTGTTGATTAGATACATTTTTTTTTTTTTAACATTTGGAAAAAATATAACAATTAGTAATAATTAGAAAAAATAGAAACTATCGACTACGTTTTAAATATTTACAAAACGGAAGAAAATCTGTATAGTAAAAAACACCTTTACAATAATAAAATTGAAATCACGCGGCGTTGCAGATAGGCTACTTTATGTACGCCATTATCGGATATCTGACCACGTCTTGTCCAGCACTCGTAATATTATATTTATTCATTAGTATACCTGTATACCTGATACAAATATGAGACATTGGAAAAAAAAATATATAGGATATTTATTTATATCTCTCCTGCTACTTCAGCAGATTAGATTTGGTCAAATTTTTTCTATTACCTATTACCTATACCTACTCAATTTGATCGAGAATGTGATTTATGGTGATTTGAACAATTTAGTGATTAATATTAATCCATCAACATTAATAATTTCCAAACATATATATTAAATTCTAGATATTTAAAAATATGGTCTTTGAGTACTTATATATTTTAAAAATTCCAAAAATTTGAATAAATTATTTAGGTATTAGAGAAAAAATGTGGGTAGCATGTATGTATATAAATATTACGGACTTAAGTACTTAACGATAATTTTTGTACTTAATGTATATAATATTCTAAAATAAACAGTAAAATAAAATGTATGAAAGTGGTAGTTGGTTCTTGTTAAAAGTCAGTGGTAGATTTAAGGGGGGGTAGAGGTGCCCCCCCAATTAGCCTAGCATCTAAATTAATAAATTGGGACGTTTTTAAATATTTGTGTTGTAAAACTTGGAAAAAGACAATGGGCCCATTCCAAAAAAAATGTCTAGATCCTCCACTGTTAAAAGGATAAGCAGTGGTATGGATATATTATTCTACCTAAAATAACCTGTAGGTAGTAGTTAAAATATGCAATGGACACTTGTGACACAATATTTTAATGATTAGTTAACACTTCACATACTTCAATATTATTATGAAATTATACATATCCATATCGCTCATAAATGCCTAATAGTTAATACTTCATTATAGATACGCTCTATAATATGCAAATAATTATATAATATATTGTGTTTACATAATAAGCCTACACCAATAGGCAATAACATATATATATATATTAGAATATAAAAATCGTAATACCTTCTCCAGAAATAATAAACTGATCAAACCAAATAAACCAATCCATCGGTGATAGACATTTTAACATTCTAAAATTCCACATTTCACGGTATAATATACAAATCAATAATTATATATCATTTAAACTGTAATATAATTTTTTTTTTATTTTGAATAGTTATAAAATCACAATTTATATTTGCATATAGCATAAGCATAATACATCATTATAATAAAATAAAATAAATATAAATACATCAAAAATATAATAAGGTATTACATATTTTCATGTTTTAAAATAGTTTTATATACCTTACGCAATATGTATGATTACGTATATAGGTACCTATGATATTATATAGAATACTTGGACAACCACCAACTTTTCCCTTTGGTCATTTTTTCTGTGGCCTATTTTTGTACTGCCATTTTTCCTATTGGACTAATTTTTAGTTACCTGTTTGACTTTGGACATTTTTTCTGTTGGCCTTTTTTCCGTGGCCATTTTTACAGATTATCAATAATAATTTATAACACCTATTCAATAATTCCTTATATTTGTCGCAACATCAGAAATAGTTTATAAAAATGGAAAAAAATAATTTCATATCGCTTTATAATAATGGTGTGAACATTAAAACATGCAACCAAATGTAGTGATGCCTTGTGTGATGTTGACATATGTGTAGTTATACTAATAAATGTTTTGTTCAGGTAGATATTAATAAAGTAATAAATACTATAATTTTATTAAAATAATCTTAATTATTAAATGTAAATAATAATAATACAGAATTACTTTATAGTTTAATATTTTAATTTACCTATGTGATTTGTGGCCATAAAAGTATTTGTAATATAAAAATCGTCTTAAGTCACCTGCTCTGGGCGGCTTGATCTATATGGCCAAAATGGACATATGGCTTCACAATAAACAGGCCGGTGGCTGCTTAAGGACAAAATATGACGTCGTACTTGGTGGATGGATTGCCGCGACACGTAAACGTGCTGGTCGTGTCGTCGTACGCGTAACTGTAGGCTTCCGGACAGGCCTTTTTGAAGAATGCAGGATAGTTTTTGGGCCACGAGCTGCTCTTACAAGTCGCCGGAGTTTTGTGGGCACCTCGGCAGCAGTAAGTGTCTGTGTTGAACCGCTCACAGGCGCTCTTACACGCCACCACACCTGAGCCAGTCTTGACGGCCAACTCTGACGGGCACATGCTGTTCAGGTCGGCCACACAGCCGGCAGCTTTACAGTCGTACTTGTCTTTTTTCGTGTACGAGAACTGCCCGGTCGGTAGCATTCTGATTGGCAGGTTGTAGCCGTCCACCAACGACACGTCGTAGAAGTCTAATCCGCCAGACCCGGTGAACGTCATCTCAGCCAGGGACACGGGTGGCACGCCGCCGGCTCCGTTGCACTTGATCTTGTTGCCTGCATCATCAAATCGTTTAATAGAAAGGAAAATATATACAATATAAACTCAACTAGAAATTAATTGTTCCAAACCGGTGTTAAAATATTCCGCAAAGGAATTATGAACCTGAACCATATACAATATAATAAATGAAGCAAACGTACAGGTGTGTTTTTTTCAATAAATTATAGGTATATTATATTTTTGTAAGAATAATATTATAACAGAGGCGTCCTCAGGATATTTCAATGGAGGGGGATGAAAAAAATGGTTTCAAAATAAGCCGTACCTAAGGGTTTTGCCTCACAACTCCCATATTATAATAATGAATATTAAAAAAGCGGGTAAGTGGATGTCACTCTGCTGTACAGTAGATTACAATACTTAGTCACTGTATAATGGATTGTATTAAATTTGAATTCAATGATATCATATCATTGTATACGAAAAACGATTCTGAGCGGAGACGGTTTGTCAGTCTGGATATTTTATATTGTAATTATATTTTATTATAGCCTGTAAGTTGACTTAATATTATAAATTACGATAAAATAACTAAAATCATTATTTTTATTTTATTTGTTACAATGGTGATAAACAAAGTGTTAGAAATTGAAATCACATTTTTAGCGGTTTTTGAAATTTGTCGGTGAAATTGTAATGTGTCATTAAATAAATATTGAGAAAATTGAAAAATTACCACTCTAAAGTATCATCTTGATAAAATTTGCTAAAAGAAAAGATATACTATAATATGTTAAAAGCGAAGAACTGCTTCTGGTAGAAATTTTATATGCAGGATAAAATAAAAATAAATATAAACAATATTGAAAAACCAATAGATCCCTCACTCCGCTCAGAATCTAATAATATTGATAGTAATATAGTTGATAATATCAAATAATCAATTCAAGTCATATTTATTGTTCTTTTTATTTAAACTATAAAAGAATGTTATGAATCAGTTTAAATCAGGAATGAAAAATGTTTTTAATTTTTTCGTTTTTGTTTTTGATTAACGTTTTTAAAAACGTTATTTTTCTATATTGTTTTTGATAATATTGTTTTTTTTTATAGTAGTAAATTTAGCAATTAAGAAATGCACTTAAGAGTTAAAAATTAAAATTAATTATTCTTGATTTCAAATAAAAATGTTTTTAAATTTTAATAGAGCATTGTTGGTAAAGATTAAAAAGTAAATACTTAGGTAACATTTTTTTTTTCGTGTTATTAATATAATAATGTACAATACTATAATTTATTTGCGTTTTCGTTTTTGATTTCGTAATTAATTTTTTTTCTGTTTTTGGAATTTTTTGTTATGGTTTTTTGTTTTTGTTTTATTCATTGTTTTCGTTTTTTTTCCGTTTACTAACGTTTTTTAAAAACGTTTTCCATCCCTGGTTTAAATTATTTATTTTATTTTATCACTGTGGTGTTATCATTGTGAATCTTACCTTCACATTTTTTCTGACGCTGGGAATTTATAAAGTTGACGGAGTGATTGTTTACAAAAATACAGTACAAATCAATTGGAAAGCGAATTGCCTGTTACATGTTATAATTATCAGTGATAAATAATAATATTGTTTATGGCTGGTGGAATCAATAATCACGATAAAGAAAAATTGCAAAAAAAAAATAAAATAATAACTACCAAGTCAATATTGAAAACACAAACACATATCAAAAGTAGACAAAACGTGTATTACTAATATGTAAAAAAATAAAGAACCTTGGGGGGGGGATCTATCCCCCATATCCCCCCCCGTGAGAACGCCCATGTATTATAACATAGTATCGTTACTTATTAGACAATAATAATATGTGAAGAAATAATCTATACTATTATGACATGCACAATACGATTTTTTTCGCACTAATAACTCAGCCTATTTATGCATATTGTAGGGGGAATATAGATTTGGAAATGTATACTGTATATAGAGTAGATTTTCATAAATAAATATTGTTTAAACAATATTAAAATATTATGACTTTAATATAAGGCAAGTAAAATACGGCCATAGAAATACACCGTTTGGCCAGTAAAATAAAATTTTAAAAAAAATACATTTTTTGAATACCTACCTATGAAATATAAAAAGCAGTAAGTTACCTAACCAATTTATAGAATAATAATAAAGTATCGTTTGTTATTGAAATTTGAAATGTAGGTATATCAAAGGCAATGGTCGTGTGTTTGTAGCTTATAGATTCAAGAACTAAAATACGAAATACCGGTATCCCAAATTTCTACTACTGGACTATATTAGTATTTAGTTTCAATAAAATTTCATAAATGTCTAAAATATTATTTTGGTCACCATTTTCGATGTCAAATAATTATTGTCGTAAATGTCCAATAATGAAAAAAGTGTAGGTATTGGCTTTAGTAATATATAGGTATATAGGCAATAGACTTATAGCCGGTTATAAGGCTGCCATTTTTCTCGATACATAATATAGCACTGGCTTTAAGGCTTCAAATCCGCGGGCCGAGACAAGAAATTATACCGGTTTCCTATTATTCAAGTGTCGTGCCTCTGATGTTCAAAATAAAATAAAATTATCATGTAAATTTTGTTTACCCGATGACCTTCTAATCATAAATTCATTTTTTTCGGACATAGTTTTTTTTGTAGACATTTCCTAGTCATTTCCTACTTTATTTGACATGACGTCACAAACGGAAAGCAGCGAGTCGTATCATAAAACTATTTGTTATTTGTTTTCGACTGTGCCTTGGTGCCGATTGCGTCATGAACGTGCGTTGTTATAGGTTCTAAAGTAAATATTAGGAAGATTGAAGAGCAGGAAGTTTTTATTTTCTAAACCATGGATTGCTATTAATGGAATTGCTATAAAGGTACCTACTGGCTACTGTACATTTTGTACAGCGCACACTATAATCATTGGGATTAAACAAACAGACCAATTTTATCAATTTTTATATAATATTAAATTCTAATTTTATTTTATGTAACCACTGGCAACCATTTATACATAAAAAAATACTAATTACTACCTAGGTACTATTAGTTATTACTGCAGTATTACCATTATAACCTGTAACAACTAACATCTTCAGCAGGCCACTATTTATATATAATAAAATACTAATTTCTACTATTACCATTATAATCTGTATTCTGTAACCAATGGCAACCATTTATAAAAAAATTTAGATTCCCATCGTTAATCTGAAATACGTATAAATTCGTACTAAGCACCTCTTTAAAATCTGAAATTCGGAAAATCCTTTCTTTTAAGGTGATATAATTACTTTACCTTATGTAATGACATATTAGCTAGGTACGAATAGGTACTGTCAAAATGTGAAATCCCTAGCCCCTTCTTAGATATCATAGTTTAGTCTCTGTGTTGATCAGTCCGTCAGTCGGGTACGTTCGATTATTTATATTATATATTATAGATGGTGTGTGTTTTTTTTAACTGTCAACCTCACTCATTACCTTTTGAAGTAGTAAAAAAGCTTCAATTTTCAACTTAGATAGTTTCTGGTAGGAAATTTAATCTAACTTTTTTTTTTTTTTGGGGGGGGGGGGGGGGTGGTTAATAGGATCGGGGTGTGAAAATCCTGAATACTTATTTATGTCAAAAACATTCAAATAGGTTTTTTTTGAGTCAGCGTTTTAAATATGAGATATACCTTTACCAAATGTTGCATTATTATTATGTGCACTAAATAATATGCAACTATAGTCACGAAATATTATTTACACCTTTATTAGCTTTTGAAAATAGTAGGTATAGGTAATATAGACATATAGTTTGATTTAACTTCAGTATACATTAGGTATGCAATAAAAATCAAATTTTGCCGAATTTAATATTATGCAATAATTATCAAATATGCAGAGATATACAAAAAAAAAATGTTTTCATTAGTTTGAAACTATTGAAAATTCAAGATTGCAGATTAAAATAATCCTTCTCGTGGACAAAAAGTTTCGATTATTTCAATAAGAGACGTGTATGATTAAAGTTATATGATTTAATTCAAATAGTACAATATGTACCTACTCAGTCCTACACTATAACGACCATCATCAAACGCATGTTTGAGTTGCCAATTGCTTGATTAATTGTGTCGCCACCACTTTCGTTTAGTGTGCTATATAAATATAATATTATTCAAGATTATGCATATTTTATTGGGTATGTAATAGATAACAGTATATTATACATGAGGTATTTAAAATGTGTGTCACGGCTCCAAGGGGTGTTACGAGTATTTGTCAGGGGAGCCGTGACACAGAATAGATATGGGAAAAAAAATAACGACGATGAGTGATGACTGATAACGATTAATATTATATTATATTGTTTTATTCTAAACGTAAAACATAATTATTTTCTGAGCATAATTTATGTATTTATTTAAGGAAGTAATGGTTCCTATTTAATTTACTAAATAACGTATCATCTCAATAAACCTATTATAAATCGATCCTACTTACCGCAATCACCCGTTTCACATTTTCCTTGACCACTGCATTTTGTTCTGCCCCAAATCCTGCCCGCCCAATCTCGAGGCGTGTTAATCGTATGGGTCTTGTGGGCGCCCAACGAAAATCCTCCGTTTTCAAGATGTCCGTGTCCCGGGTTTCCTTGTATGCCGGGCCATATAGTAAACGGGCAGTTGTTTTTTATTGTAATCACGTGTGCCATAGTGATGGCAGCCGTTTGAACAAAAAACAATGCAAGCTTAAAGTCCATCTCGAGTGTTAAAACCGCGGAATAGTGATAGTTTACCTTTTACCTACTGTATATATAAGAGATAGAATTTGGCATTTGCGATCTGTAGTAGTATAATGACGTTGCATCGAGGAACACATCTTGTTTATATACCTACGACGCAAACCGTTCAAAAATAATAAATTAATAATATTATACATATAAGAAGTTAGTTTACGCTGTACACGAATTATTTGCACGCCATCAACTAATCGAGAATAATTAGTAGGTAATGTTTTTTACCCATTTTTTAGGTAGACGAGTACCTATAGATTATAAATTATAATGAATATAATAATAAATATATGTGCTTACGGAAACTACGTCATAAAATTAAAACATATAATTTGTTTTTACCATATAACTAAAACCTGTTATACACAGCGTAGCGTACCTACACAGGATTTTTAAATGAAGACTTGAAAATAAATAATTATAACAGTTGTCACAACTTGCAAGATTCGGTTTGCAAAATAAAGTATAGGTAATAGGTGCTTTCTTAGTTCTTACTGATATGAAATATAAAATATTCTCTACAATTAATGGGCAATAATATACAATTTATTTTGTCCTGCAGTTGTGCAGTCTATAGGTATAGTCATTTTGGACATCTAGGTGAGGTATTTGGAAATTGTTGTACAACTTCAACTTCTGTCAATTTTTTTATTAATTTATTTTGGTTTCCGCCAAGGACGTGCTCAAGGGGGGTCATGGGGTTTGAAATTTGAATCTCCCACACCACTGATACATGAAAAATCATTATACATATAACTCTCATATATAACATTATACTCCCCTCCTCCATAGGAAATTCCCGTGCACGCCTCTGGCTATAGCTAGTCCATTAGAATTTAGAAGTAATAAGTATGTAAATGTATGCCCTTGCTTATACCATCTAGTTTTCCACAGTTAAAACTTGATAAATATAAAAACAAAATATAATAATAATAATTATAATAATATATCCGGCCAATGGTGGAAAACTGGCCCCTTTAGACCCCCCTGCGTACGCAAGAGCGGTACACATATTAAAATATAATATTAAAGATATAGATACATAAAGATGTATATTTTATTATAATATTACAATTATTATATATTTACAATTTAAAATTTACAACTTTTCTAGTAGAAAAATCTTTGAGCACGCCCCTGTAAATACCTATATTAAAGTAAAAAAAAACCTTACCTGCATTATATATAAATTTTACCTAACTACCAATATAAATTATAATTGTACCTACCATTCATATACGATCATAGATAAATATCTATGTAGACGATACATTCATACTAGATGTATTATCAGAAATTATAAATATACCTATCTACCTACGATCCACGGTTTAAGATGGTCTATCTTAAACCGTTCTACGATCTAAGATAAATGATATCTTAGTGACTTAGTCTAAATAGTCTGCCCTCTTACCATTGATTATAAATACTAGTAAGTAGTAAGCAAGGTGGATTGATATTCAGTATTTCAATCCACCTTGTAAGTAGGTATTTGTAGTCAATGCTTTATGCTATTACCTTTTATGGTATATCTACTTATACAGTTATACCTATTTGTATGATTTGAGGAAAAAAATCACCAGCATGAAAATTAATTAATGTGAATATTTTCTTATTGATAATTTATTTATCAATTTAATAATAAATAATACAAATAAGTATTTTCTAAAAGGGAAAACTATCTATTTATCTTAGATATAATAGTTTATGCCTTATGGTACTATTATTATACAGGTTAAAGGTATTACCTATATAAGATTTACGATTTCGGAGTGTTTTAATATGTACCTATCTATGATATGTATAATGTATAATAGGTACCTATACACAATTTGAAATAAAAAACTTGTTCCGATTTTGTGCAGTCATAATGTATTGCAAATTGCAATAAAGTTGTCGTAACTCGTAGCAACCATATATAGTTATACTGCAAAGAAATTAAGGAAACTGTGATTAGTTTTTGAAACTTTAGATATAATAAAATTGGTTTACTACGTATACTGTGCCTTCTAAAAATAAATATAAGAATAAAAAAAAACAACCCAAGGACATATTATAATTTTATATAATGGTACCAATGTACCATATTATGTACCTACAAGTAAAGCCGTAAAGGTATACTCATATAGGTGAATTAGGTACATACAAATAATGTTTGAATTTTACCTACAATTTATTAAAAATGTTTAACATACAATCAATTTTATATTTTTATTAATATTATTTTAGATTCTGGGTGGAACAATTTGGGGAGGGGGAGGGTTAAAAGTAAAAAATTCTCAGTATGTAGTTCTAAAACGCGACGATAAAAATAATAAATATGCGTAGATTCTTAACATTTTTTTAAGTTAGAATTTTTCGTAAAAATTTGCAAATTATTTTGCAGTTAGAAATTCATAAATAAATTTCATGTTACAGCTTTTCTAGCTTAAGCATAAATAAAATGTTACCGGAGAGTCAAAGTCAATTCAATTGTTTATGAACGTTTGAAGTTCAATTTTTCTATGACATACGTATTTTATATTTGGATATTCGTCAGTAGGTCTGATGTAAATTGTTTTAATTATTTTCTGATTTTGCTGTTTTTCCAAAACGAACAACAGTATAGAAGGTGTAGAAAGGTACCTACTTGAAATTTTTTCTTATAATTAGTACCTAGCTACCTATAAAGATAGCTAATTTAAAGGATAACAAAGCTAACTTTTTACAGTTAAACATGATTTAGTTTTTCTATAATTCAGTGATTGGTTAATTAAATGAATCAAGTTTTTATGAAACTCAGCATAAATACAATTATTAATAATAACGTAGGTAATTAATATGAATTATTATATAGCCATATAGGTAATAAGAGAGCCCTTGCTTGTTATTAGAACAAATATCGTTAACTAAAATATTTGAAACACAGGTATTTTTTAATTTGTTTATTTTGTAACATACAGGTACTTACTACTTACCTAAACACTAAACGGAATAAGTCAGTATATCAGCGGTTACTTTTTATATCCACTACACAGTTTCAACATTTTCATGTACCACTTGAAACTTATAGTTGTTAAACATATTTTGTTGTGTGTATAGAACAAATTCTAAAAAAGTGTTACTGAGGTAATTAATTAAATTAATAAAATTATTATTAATTATTTTAGATACAAATTCAAGTTTAATTTTTAGTTTAAATATAAAGGATTTTTAAAGGTAATATTATAATAAATACACTAGTCATTACAGTTTAAGCCTCTGCTCAGTATAAGAACATTTATATAAAATGTTTTCTTTATTTAAGACATACCTAATCGAGTGCTGGGTAGCTACTCCCGACTCCCCTCACGCTGTCACAGTCATTCAGCTCATATGCTCATTGTAAACAATATTACAGATTGTATATTTTCTAATAAATGTTAAAAAAAAAGAAAAAATTAAGACATTACTACATTAGACAAATCTCTTTCGATGGCTATTACTGACAACTTCGAAAAACGATTTGGCAACCTAGTTGACCTGATGTATAATTGTTAATGCTACGCATTGCAGAAAATGTTCTTTCACAAGATGCTGAACTTGTTGGAATGGAAAGTGCTAAATGGCCTAAATGTAGCATTTTATATAAATTTGGAAATACCGATTTTTGAATTAAGCACTTTAGCCGCTTAACAAATGTATAACATGATTTAATAATTTATTTACCTTTTAATGGTTTACAAAAATATCACTTTGTTTATAGGTAGTCAAGATTACTGAAGTTATCAATTGATATGGCCAGTTTAAGACTTTCTGGTGAAAAATGAAAATCTGTGATTCATGTTCACTACAATACTGTCAATCACAGAAGAAAAAGCATGTTTTTTTCAATAAATTACAAATGATTTTACACAGGATCATTACATACAATAATATAGTTGGTCAAAGATGTTAATAAAAAAAATTAAACGATACCTATATCAAATTTAAAAATTAACTACCGTTGATAGGAATATAGTAATTATGACAGGGGGGCTACAAACGAAGTTGGGGGGGCATAGCCCCCCCTCTAGTTACGCCTATGACGACGGGTTTGTGCTTTAAGTAGTAGGTACAATAGAATCCCGAACACAAAGTTCTTAAAAACAAAATAGGTATTCAGGTATTCTATTAAATTTTCATTTATGATTAATAATTATATAGGTTTGAATTTAATTATATAATTAATATTCATTTCCTTATACAATATTAATATATTTTATTACTAATCTACAGTTAATAGCCTACAGTTTACACATATTATATAATATAATATACATAGTTACATATACAAATCAAAAATAATGGTCAATTTAAAGTAAGTTCAAAAATATAAATCTTTTGACTTGTATAATTATTATAATAATAAAGAATATTGAAAAAAATGTCCATACAACCGTTGATCGCTTTACCATAATAAATAATAATAATAATTGAATAGGTATAAGATTTTTAAAATTTTTTTTATTAGAGCGCCGCAACTACTTTGTAAGGTTATTAGGTTAAAAATTACAATATTGAAAACAGTAATAATATATACATTTACATCTTGGAATTAAAATATATAACAGTATGGAATTTCACAATAGAAATTGTAGAGTATAAA